CTGGGATGGCGTGTGGGGACGGGGGTGGCACAGGGGGCTGCGATGGCGTGAGGGGACAGGGATGGCATGAGGGGGGGCTATGATGGTGTGAGGCGATGGGAAAGGCTTGAGGGGACAGCGATGGCATCAGGCCACTCATTTTCAACACACCCGCCCTGCAGGCTCAGGCACTAAACACCACCACCACGTTTTCATTTTAAATTGGGGTTTTATTGTCAGTACGGTGGGGTTCAGGTGTCCCCTGTACACTCAGCTGCAGAGCCAGCAGCCACGCCACTGTACCACATCTTGCTGCCCCAGGGAAGGACGAGGCTGTGGGTAAAGAGCCCCAAATGCTGGCTCTCGGGGAGGCTGGGCCCTTTCGCACCCCCAAAAGACCACTCAGGTCTGCTCTAAACATCCATACAAATACAACACAATTTCACAGTTAGATTACAAACAGCACAGCACGTCCTCTTCAGCTCCTGCTGCCTCCGAGATCACTTCCAGCCCGCGTACAGGACACTGTTGGAGTGGTGCATTGCAGCTACCCTGCCACGGCTCAGTGCAACCACAAAACATTCATTTATCAAAGTGAGATGCATCTGCAGGAAGTGGCACCTAAAACACCATGTAAATGCATTCATCCCAGGCCCTGCATCAACCTTGCCAAGGCACAAATGTCCGTGAGGTCCGATAAGCTGTGCTCGGGGTTTATTTTTGTGGCTGCGCCTTGTTCATCGATCTTACCCTGACCGACTCTAGAACAGTGAAATCCATCATTAGCCCTGTACCCAACTCTTAGGCCTTGCTTATCTAGATCCAGCAAACCTGATGTTGTCTTCCACCATCCATCTCCCAACAGCCAGGGAACCAACATTAGGCTGTAGGCTTTAGCCCTACAGGGCATGTAGGCTCTGATTCATGCCTCTCAGTCCATATCCAGTTTCTAGAGTGCTCCTGAGCTTTGCTAGTTCAGCAAGTGGAAAGCAGAGACGAGACTTCCACGCCGCATTTCAAGGCTGCTGCATGTCAGCAGCACATCTGTGTAAATGCACTGTCTTTGGACGCGCACACACACAAGTTCACCTTCAAACACAGTAGTAGTAAAATAAAAATAATCATCACTGAAAACTGCTGACAAACAGGGAAAACCACCCTGAAATCAGGATGGTAAAGAGTTCCTTCTGGAGTGACCATTTCCTACAGTGACTTCAGTACAGTATAAGCAAATAGTACAGGCAAGTTCCAAAAAGGTGTGTTTTTCTCATAGAGATTATAGATGTCCTGCAGAGTCCTGGTTTTCCTTCAACAATGATCAAGTTTTACAACAAGATGACTGCAGATGCTGTCAAATCAAGGCTTATTCTTTAGATACTGCACTCTGCACTGTGAAAAAAGAGCTAGGGATGGAAGGGACTTGGAAGGGGGTGGGAGGAAAGGGGCCTAATTTATGATGACCTCCCAAAGGACTCCAGAGGCCAAAAGCAGGCCCTTCAACAGATTCTCCCGTGTTGGGCTTCCAAAAACTGAGATTCCTAAAAGTCATCTTCAAAGAGCTTTAGTACTGGAGTCTATTGAGTGAGTCGATGTAATGAAAAGTGGCTCCCAACGCCCAGCTCGTTTCAACATTGTCAATTTTCCGGGCAAGCTGGGAAAAAAACCCAAACCACACAAGTTAAAACACTCTTTTTAAAACACAATTCTTTGGAGAAGGAGAAGCATGCAAGGTGAATACAGTGCTGAAGGTTATTATAACCGTTTATCACCATCGTGGGGACAGTGTGCCTCCACGCCCCAATTGCAGAGCGTGTGTTGTAGCCAGAAGGCAAATCAAGGACTGAGTGTACTGACTAACGCCTCGGCACCCTCCTGCCCACCCTCCCCAGCAATCCCTTGTGTGCGTCACCTTAAAGACTTGGCTCCTTGGGAAGCCCAGTTCTTGCAGGAGGGATGTGATGTACGTGAGGTCCATGCAGAGGAAAGGGCTGCTTCCAGGGCTGATTTCCATGGTCTTACATACTACGGAGAAAGAAAACAGTGTCCGAATGCGCACTGCAGGCTCAGGCCTAGCATCAGCCCAGCTTCAAAAAGCCTCACATGAATCCATAAAACGCCTCGTCAGTTGAGTTGTGCAATGATGGAACCTGTTACAATGGGGTTGAAATGACATGCGCACATCAGCAGAAGCAGAAAAGCTTTGGCACCACCGGAAGGAAAATCAAGGCATTCTGTCTCTCCCCTAAGACAGCTGAGCTTCTCATACCTCTCCATGAAAGGATGAAAAGGCCCTCCAACCTTTCTTCTATCTTCCTCAAGCCTTTAAAAATCTGAGCAACCTCAGGTGCATTACATTTCTCGAGCATAAACACTCAACAGATGTTGACAAAAACAAAGGGAAAAAGAAAAAGACAACAGAAAAAAAGAAAAGACAAAACCAAAATAAAACCTACTTCCTTTCTCAGGATGAATTACACAAATGGTAGCCCAGAAATGAGAACTGCAACAATTGTTCAGTCACTCATAAAGTTTGCCAAAAAGACCCATGTCAGTTTGATCAAAGCCTGAGTTTGTGGTATTAAGAAAAGAATGTTTACATTTGTAAATCTGTGTAGACAGTTCTCTCTGCAGCTGCTGAAGCGAAAAGCTATGAACCGGTTTTTCCCCTTTTCCGATTAACAATCAAGCATATGAACAAATGTTGAGACAAAAAGAAAAACTAAACCAGATTAGAACAGGTTATGCTAACAGGATGAGAACCTCCACATCTATTTTGAAAGCATGGTTTCAGGACAACTGGCAAGTTTTTTAGTAATTCTTGAGAGAGTTTTGAAACACAAACATTACAAGATATGCCTTATGTGGGCTGCAAAAGCAAGAATTAACATAAAAATAGTTGAGATTTTCAGAAATAAGCAGAAATGTTGTTGAGATGCTATGGAGAACTCACTATTTACTTAAAACAAAAAAGCAGGCTTCTTAGCATGTCATACATTCGCCACGTGGGATGAATTTAAACACAATTACTAATGTGTATTTGATTGTATTTTACTCACCATATTTAGCTGCAATTTCAAAGTCACCAACAGTTAAGCTTCCTCCTTTTTCTTTATCTAAAAGAAAAAAAATCCATGGTCTTTTATGGTTTTTGTGTAAAGGCAGTTGTAGATTCAAGTCATGAAAGTTGTTTGGAAATCAAACCTTGAGCCACTGAAATCAATGACAAAACTCACACTTGCTTTAAAGGTAAAACTACCTTTAAAAGATTCTTAATGTAGATGGAAAAACCTCATTTTATGAAGAACTTTTAGCTTTGTTTCCTAAAGAAATACAGTTTACAGACTCTCTCACCTTGTCCCCATGTCGGTGCTGCCCTGCCCTGTGATGCCTGAACACAGTTAATGCCTTTGACCAGATCTGACAGGGCAGTAGTGCTCTCCAACATATTAAATCTGAAATTATTTGTAAAACAAAGTGGCTGAGGAGGGGGTTATGTTTGTCCATACTAGCTTGAGATCTCATCATCTGCTTTCTGCAACTGAACACAATGGCCTTCCGTGCACCAGCATACCGCTGGAAAGGAGATGGGATGCACTCTGAATACATGCGGAATTACCTGAAAATCTTCATTCCATCTAAAAAGGTTAGCGAAGCAAAACACACAGCCCAAGATCACAAGTCTGATTTGCCCAAGAAATTTATTTATCATTATGAGGGCTTTTTTCTATTTTGGATTGTAGAGTTAATTAGACACCAACAATTTCTGAAACGCAGGCAGTTTGTTTAAAAACTGTTACCAGAAGTTGCAGGTCCCATTTCACAACCCCACTCCCTTCTCTATAGAAATTCCTCAGTGTTCAATATCCAGTCGAGACCAATGCTGCGCAGCAGTGTAACAGAAGACTAAGTTCCATGACAGTTTAGCAAAGCGTCCTGATGTGTGTATGTGTTATCATTCCTTCCACAACTTATCAATCAAAATGAAATGAAAACAGGAGCAAACCTACCGATGAGACCAACCTCTGCTGCACGGTCATAGTAGTAGGAGAAAGCGTAAAAATCCAAGTCCTTCACTTCCTCAGCTTTATGCACTTTTTTATAGAGCATCTTTGCCACTTTGTTAGAACAAGACTCGTACAGAGGCTCACCTAAAAGAAGGCAAAGAAACTCAGCCTATTATAGGCAGAGAGTTAAATATACATAGAATTTATTTAGGATCTGACAGGAAACAGGCTCCTTTTTGCAAAACAGCACTTTGTAAATTCTTACAAGCTCTTCACAGAGAACTGAAATCTGCATCTTCTTCCAGGGGCAACATTTACCATCCTCAGATTGGGACTGAGTATGCAATAGATCAGATATTTATAATTTCAGGCAGAAGGATTCTGAAAGACCTGTTAGGGGATTGCTCAACTCCATCTGCATTACTACTAACAGCTTTATTGACTGGACAGACACACCATGGCAGAAGAGGAAAGAGCTGCAGAATCTCTTTAACAGCACGTCAAGAGGAGCCAGACAGAACAGTAAACAGAGACTCCAATGTCTTTCCAAGAGGCTGAGAGTATATCATTTACTCTGCTAATAGCATGCTGGCCTAGATAGGAAGAGTGATAAATCACTATACCTGCCTTCTGTCCTTTGATTTTGTACACTATCTCAGCATGTTGCCATTCAGATATGAAACCAGGTGGTAAACAAGGGCTGATCAATTCCTCCCCTTCTCCTACTGCAGAAGTAAAACAAAAGCCACCTTAGGGAAAACCATAAGGGGTTAATTTCAGATCCCTTACCCCCAGCCCTGCTCCATACTGTCCCACAGCCTCAGCAAGGCACCTCCAAGCCCCAGTCATGGCCCCACAGGGTTGGTAAGAATCCAGGTCTCCTGGGACCTAGCAATGTCACCTCTTGCATTTGTCTCAAATGCACCTAGTCATGGTGACAGGACTCCACATACCACTCAGGAACCTTGAGCCCAGCGGGAAGGGGACAGACAACTCCTCCCCCCACAACAGGGCTACATAGTCTATGCTCAGAGTATGCCAAGACTTGAGGAGTGCCCATAACTTACAGGGTTTTCCCTCAACTCCTCCTAAAATGGCGAGCCTTGCTGACATCAGCCCGAGTCCCAGGTAACTGCAAAGGGATAAAAGCCTCTGTGAACAACAAACATCCTTCCTCTGACACTCCACTGACACCTTCGCTGGGACACGCCAGTCTCCTCTACACGGTCCCAGCAAAACGGCTCGAGTCAGCAGCTAACGTACGTAAGGGGAACGGTGTGACCACCCACTCTCATATTACCCTTATCCAGAAGGACAATCTCTGAAAAAGCACAGGCAATAGCTGTCAACTGTAATCTGGCTCTTGAAGAACTGGGAATGCTGAAGGCATCCTTTCTTCTACCCTCCTCAAAGGCAGCGCTGCCTCTAACATACAGAACTGACTCCTTTTGGGCCCAAACACACCCCACAGTAAACACCGTTGGGAAGAAGCTGCTTCCCTCTGCCCAAAACACTGGGAGCAGGGGAAGACAGCGAGGAGGAAGGAGCAGCAGAGACAAAGCACTATGAACTGATCGCAAGCCCCATTCTCCATCCCCCTGCGCCGCTTGGGGGTGAGGAGGTAGAACAGTTGGGAGCGAAGCTGAGCTTGGAAAGAAGGGAGAGGTGGAGGGGAGGTGTTTTTATTTTGTTCTTATTTCTCACTATCTTACCATTTAATTGGCAATAAATTAAATTAACTTCCTTAAGTCGAGTCTGTTTTGCCCATGACGGTAAGTGGTAAGTGACTTCCCTGTCTTTATCTTGACTCACAAGCTTTTTGTTCTATTTTCTTCCTCCTGTCCTGTTGATGGAGGGGGAGTGATAGAGCAGCTTGGTGGGCACCTGGAGGGCAGCCACAGTCAATCCACCACAATGACATGGCTCAGGTTTCTCTGCTTCATCCCAGCACTCACGTGCAAAGACCCCACTTCGGCAAAACACCTATATCTCACTGGCTTCATAGAAAGCTTCTGTCTGTACAGTGTGCTCTCTTTCCCACAACTAACCTGTACGAATACAGATTGTAGGTGTTGTTAAACATCTGAAATGAAGTTGTGTGGCCAGCTGGTGATGTCTGGAGAGTTGCCTGGAGGGAGAAAAAGATGTCACTGCAAGGTTTCTGCCAGGCACAGCAAACATCAACAATACGGTCTTCCAAAACATTAGGAAAAATGTGAAACAATCCTAGCATAGGTCAGAGAGAAATGAATTTGCAAGTATTTTGATTTGACCACTGACACACAAGACAACCACAAAACCTGGAGCTAAAATAGTGTCTTCACATGGCAGAGCCTAAACTGATTACATTTCTATTTGTATCCACACCAAATTGGTGTATAAAAGAATTATTTTAATTCAAAAGGAATCCTTATTCCAGCTCTTAACTGCTTTTGTCAAGAGGCTACAGCAACTGCCTCTTCATATGATCTCTACTAGGGAAAACTGTGCAAAATATTATGAAAACCAGGCACACATTAACTTCCTACTCAAGTGAATTCAGCTGTGAACTTCCACAAGCCAGAGGAAAAGGACATCCCCGTGCCTGCCAAGGAACAGAGTGAGGACCAGCCTGTGGTCTGAAGAAATAAAAGGGTAATTATGTAAAGCACTGTGCAGCATCCTCCCCAAGTGCACCAGCACCACTAGCGCGTTCGTGGGGAACAAAGCTCAGGCCACGATGCTATTCATGCTGCTCATATCTTAACACCATCTCTAAGTGCAGAATTTCCACATCCTGGACTCTTCACATCCCTCATAATTCTGCTGTGAGAGCACAATGTCTGATTAGCCCAGGCTGGGACACTAGATACAGCATCCCAACCCTCTGCTTATGTGCAGCTTTACGAGGAACAGTATCTCTGCTCAGGCCAGAGCCTTATGACTCCACATCCACGGGGCTTCCAGCTCACAGAACACCTATAAAAATGCCGCAACAGGAAGCTGAAAAGACAAACATCAGCACGTATTTTTTACTGCATAATAACAGTTGCTCTCAGCATTCATTTGCAACCGAGTGAACTCAGGAAAACCAGAAAGAAGGATTTGAGAAGGCGTGGTATTGTGTTCTTAAAACCCAATATAGGCCAAATGTTGGACTTGAACTCATTAACAGCATTGCCTTTGAGTTCTTTATTATAAGCAGCACAAACTGAGAGCCAAGGATTAAGGCTCTCGGGCGAACACTGCATTTTCCCCAAAATAAAGCAGCCCTGGCAGATTCTCCACATGCACCACCGACTCACAGAGTTGGAGTAAGAGGACTGACGAAGAGTTGGGAATACCTCCGAGACTGACTACAACAAGGCAGATGTGACCAAGTGACCTCGGTTTTTCTGTCAGTATCATGGCTTCGTGTCACACTGACCAACTCTTGGTCTGTCTCCAAGGGAAACAAATCTGAGCAGTTACTGATTTCTGCACCAGCATTTCCCAACAACATGCATGTTCACATTACCTCGGTGCGGGGAAGGAAGGTGATCTGTGTTGATCCACCACCCAAATCAAGCATCCCTACACTTCTCTTCTGCGGATCATCTAGGCTACCTGAAATGTGTGACAGAACAGAGAAAGCCATGATGGGTGCTGTGAGAAACTGGCTAGGAATAAAACCAGAAGTAGAGTAGTACAGAAAGAGGACAATCTAAGTCCATCTGTCAGTTTCCAGACTAAATTATACTGTCATCTACTGGGCACTTATTTTGGCTTTATCAGGGTGACCTGAAAATCTTCAAGTGACAGAGTTTCTCTTATTTCTCTGGTGGCTGTTCATGTCCTAATTACAGCAGCTTTGGTTACTAGATTCCTAAACATTTTCCAGTGGATGCAAGGACCCTTTTGCAAACTCTACTCTGGTAACCACTTTGTAACACAGAGGAATGTGGTTTTCTTGGCCATCTCTCCCTGATCCCTTAGTGATATTTTGCAGATTCCTATGGCCAAGGGGATGACAAACTGAAAAGAGCTGGCCTAAGAGACTCAGCTGTCTTGGAATTCTTCCTGCTGCCAGCCCAGATCTTTCTTCTCATTTAAATACAGTTCTTCTCCGTTTGGATTCTTCAAATACACCTTTGTGACAAGACTAGTTTGTGCCAAGTACCTCGCTATACCTCACAATAGCTCATGTTTGAACATCTCTGACCTTTCTGGTATTTCCTGTGAGCATAAAAAGCTTTAGAGCACTTGTCATATTGCTCCACACACTGTGTGTGCTGAGCAGAGTGCTTGGACAGCAGACTGCTTTAATTACTGTCAGAGAGGGCTTCAGCTTAGTTTTTTCTTTACTCTTCAGCTACCCTTTTCTAACTCAGCAGTGTAAACACTTGTGGTATTTCTATGTTATAAATCTGTGAGGAAGTAGCCCAGCACTTTCTTTCACTCTGTGCAGCTGCCAAGCACATCTAGAACATCTGTATTAAAAATTTAGCCAGAGCTAGTAGCAGACTCTAAAAAGGAATAAAATGCTCTGGTACCCTACAAGGAATTGACAGAAAAGCTATATTAAACATCTAGGAAAAGGGATTAAACTCCTCACTCTGTCAAATAAATGGCCAAAATCCTAATGACTTAAATAGGCCAGGCCAAAAACAACTGCTGACTTATTTCCAGATTCTTCTTTCTCCCATTCCACCCCAATGAATGAGCAAATCCCATGCAGGGACAGAAAACAGTATGAATTTCACAGCATTGGTCATATCTTTATGCACATGCTCATGTATACATACCTGTTAAAAAATTTATTGTGATCCAGGCTGAAATACCTAATAAGGAAAAGTTTCAGAAGACGCACTGTTAGATGATACCATTTCATTTTATCTAACAACAGTAACAAATAAGGCAAGCCGTACCAAAAGGTCTTCCTGCTTTAGGATCTGTTTAGCTGGAGGCATTTTCAAGTTTTCTCAAGCAGTTTAACTGCACCATCTAACCAAAATAATACACAAATCACAGCCTGTCATCCAACAAGAGAGACACCAGAGACCACCACTATCCCCCTTTCAAAAATGGAGGAATTCTGATACGAAGTCTCCAAAGCATGTCTAGCTGAGAGCTATGCAAGGACCTTCAAGAAAGGTGAATAGGACTGGCTCTGCTGAGCTCCCTTGACCCACCTTGCCCCAAAGCCAGTGTTTCTACAACTGTCAATGCTGTCAAAACCCAAGATTAGATGCCTTGAACAAAGAGAATGCTCTTCTATACCAGAGCTTATGTGATACTTGGAAGAAAAGCCCCATACATGAAATGCCTGAAGAACTCTGTATTTCACAGGTCAAAAACTTAGGTGAGAAGTCACAAAGGCTTGTCCTTAGCTAAAAGATAAGGAAATGACTGACACTCACATTGTTAATTTTCTAGGAAATCTTCCACTAGTAGGGCTTTTGCTCAATGTCAGGCACTAGACTTTCCTTTTGAATACCAAGAATTTTCATCTCTTCAGTGTTCTAATTTTTCTTATTTTCCTCTAAACATTTTTGTGAGCCACACTGTTTCTGTCCTCTTCCTTGTTTTATAAACCTTTACTCCATAAATTAGATGAATTAGTGGGCTTTATGTTAACAAATTCAAATATTTATCCATGTGGTTAAAACTCAAGACATGCTAGGGAACATGGTCCAGTTCAACCTTTGGCTGAACCAAGACTGTCACTGCTATTAATGATCTTAAAACAAAACAAAAAGAATTACAATGTCTTTCTTCCATTAAGTAGTAAAAAAAGAAACTCATAAACAGCTCCAAACAGCTTCAGCTATTTTAAAGTCTGGTTTCTAAGCAGATTTAAAGCACATTGAAAACACTCAGTTACTTAGAATTTAGACATGTTTCTTCAAATTATTTAAAATCAAGACTGACTCTAGGTTCAGTTCTCAGCATTTTTTGATGAACATCAACTTACTTCAGCACGTATTTTCTTCTCTATATAACATTTTTTCAGATTGAATTCACAATCACACTCATTAGATCTAGCACACCACTCAGAGCTTTGAAAATCAGGACAGAGTTCAGGACTTTAAATTGGAAAACATAGCACTGCCTGAGGCAGGATAAAAACTGTGTCAAACCTGCTGCTCATGGGTTCCCACTACAGTGAGTGGGGACTTGTCACAGTGCAGCAGGA